TGAGGACCTTTGTTCTTCTAGAAGAAAAAGGCTCCTTGAGCTTGGCTTGGGGTAAAAGATCGTCAGCGGGCAAACCCTTCCTGGCATCGGCACAAAAACGCGTGAACAGAACGTGTGACACCTGCATTTTGATGCACGGGCGTGGAAGCGTGTATCAGTCAGTGCCTGTAAATGTGAGCAGCTGCTGGCAGGTGGCCAGTCGAGACGGCTGCTGAGGGCGGCTTGGGGGAGGGTGTGCGTGCCCAGGGGTGCAGCCTGTGGAGTCAGTGGGGTCCGTCTCTCCCGCCCGTTGGGCTAAGCGGCCCTCAAATCTGGTTTTCCAAATGCTCCCTCAGAAGTCCCTCCTGCTGGACCTGCTTTGCACTGTCCTTCTGCCTCAAGGATGCTCGCTGGTCCTTGTCTGCGACATGCAGCTCACACCCCCGCCCCCTGCCCGTGGAAGTGAGCTCAGTCTCCCCGGGACCCCCTCTCAGTCGTGTGTCACAGGGACGCATCAGGGGGCCGCCTCTCAGTGTTGCACTGTCGCCCTCATTCCGTGCAGCCTTCCTGGGGCTCACACACGCACCCCCGGTGCCGCAAGACAAAAATCTTGTCTGTTCCTCTGTTTGAAGACTGTTCCCGTCACTCCTTCTGTGTCTTCAAAAGATGCCCCCGATGGAAGATGCGAGGAAGCCTTTGATGTGTGGTGCTGATTTAACACCCGTCCATTGAAAAGGTGGCGGGAGAGCCGTCCCTGGCATGTTTGCCCTTTTCTCTTTGGCTGCCAGGAAGCTCAAGGCGGAAATTGCTCTTGGGGCTCCATGGGAGGGGAGGGTCTTAGGATCGGCATAGATGCAGATGATTTTTAATCTTCCCAGGTGGTTCAGATCTATCTCTGGAACTGAGTTTGAGGATTTGATTTACTCCCCCCACCCTCCCCCACACTCGTTATTAACATGCATCGTATAAGCAACTTCCATAAATTATATTTGCACACCTTGAACACGGAGCCTGAAGTTTTTATCGTTTCAAATCGTTTGTGTTCATTTGGCTTAATCCCGGGAAGCTTTACGGCTCAGGATCTGTGTCTTTAACTTTGAAGTTGGGAAAATAAAAGGTGTTATTTTTCCAAAGGGCACATACTACGCACAAAGGGCAGAGGTAGTAACAGAAGGAGACTTTTAAACATGTCTTGCAGCGTAAGGGCGCCTGGGTGGCTCAGTGGGTTCAGCGTCCGACTTCTGCTCAGGTCACGATCTCCCAGCTCGTGAGTTCGAGCCCCATGTCGGGCTCTGCACCGACAGCCTGCTTGGGATTCTCTCTGTCTCCCCCTCTGTGCCCCTCCCTGGCTCATGCTCTCGTGAAATAAGTAAATAAACTTAAAAAAAAAAAAAAAAGATGTCTTGCAAAATTAAGTTTTGCATCGTAACCTTATATCCGGAAACAACACTCACGACCTTGAGGCACCTGGTACCTCCTATCACGCTTTTGGGGATTCTGGTATCTCGAAAATCACAGTTGGGTGTTAAGTGAAGATTCGTTCGTGTATTTCCGTGGAAGCCTGGAAACTTGTCTCCCAACACAGCAGGGGTGCGTTTTCCCCGTAAACCCATCTCCTTGAGTCTTTATGAACCAGGGCATTTGTTTCGTTAGTGTTTCTGTGTCGGGCTGGTGATCGCTGTTCTGGTGGGATCGTCAACCCAAAGACCACCCCCGGGGCCATATGTTTGAGACAAAGTCTGGAATGGGAATGGCGTCCATATTGCACAGGGATCCTTCCCACCAGGAGACGGGCGTGGGCAGGACGCGTGTGATTAAGCTACGTTAAGGTTAATGCTGTGCTCGCTCAGGAAATGATTGATTTCAGAACAAAAGGAATTCATGTTCACGTCCATTCCGGAAACACGCAAAGCCACGAGGAAGGAAATTAAGTCAAGGTCGGTATTCTTACAACCTCTCTCCCGTGCGAAATTCTCAGTCACACGTGCCTACTAGCCCGTTTCATATTGGCCGTGACCCTTGGGAGCTCTGTTTTTGTTTTTATTTTTTTTTCCACTTAAAAAAAATATTCCCTTTGTATTTTAGCTTAAATAATGTTTCTTCATGGTTATTTTTGAAGGAGAGACAGACAGAGTGAGAGCAGGGGAGGGGCAGAGAGAGGTGGAAACACAGAATCAGGCTCCAGGCTCCGAGCTGTCAGCACAGAGCCTGATGCAGGGGTTGAACTCATGAACCGTGAGATCATGACCTGAGCCGAAGTTGGATGCTTAACCAACTGAGCCACCTGGGGGACCCCGACTTAACATACACATCTCATGTGTGTATATATTATATATGGATATATATCCTGCTTTCTGTTTTTTTCTCCTTAAGCAGCATGGCTAGCCATTTCTGGGAAGGAAGTGTGTGTAAATCGGGAGGGTCTGGGGGCCTCGCCTGTTATGATTTAAGCGTTAAGCACTGCCCGTCAATCTCGCTTTGGGATGAAAGGTTAGGACTGCTTACAAAGACCTTGCTGTCTGCCTTTTGCTGGTGACCCTGAGCGCCGCGAGATGTCCTGTCCGGGTAAATACAAGGGTGTGCGTGTCCCCGCGTTTGGACACCAGGCTCCCCTCCTCTCTTGGACCTTGGGTCCTCACCTCTGTCACCTGTAAAGGGAACGTGGGACTGGACCGTCGCTCATGCATTTTCCCTGCAGAACCTCTCTGTGATCCTGCTGTCCTCCCATCAGTAGCCCACAAGAACAGCCTGGTTATAAAGAGCGTGCATCCTGCTGGGACCTAAACCCACCTGAGGGGAGGGCTCCCTGGTTGTTGAGTGGAGGCTGGGTGTCTGCAAACTTGCTGTGTAGCCTGAAGGAGTCGCATGGAGTGAGGTCCTTTAGAGAAGTTGCCCCAGCCGGAGACACTCTTCCTGGTGGAGACTGTGTTTTCAAATGTTTCAACGTCCGTAGGGTGGGGAAGATATCCAGTTGGCCTGCTCAGGCTTTCCTCTGTAGGCTTAGTTCTTCATTTTAGGGACGAGAATGCCTGACCGTGGCGGCATGTGCCCGTGGAAGGAAAGTGGATTCCTGGAAGGATCTCTTAACACGGGGATCAAAGCTGGTCCTTGCCCAGCAGGTGCAATTCTTCACCTGCACTTGGGCCATGCTCGCAGGGCTGCTGACTGTTTGTTCCCTGCATGATCGTGCAGACAGAGGGTGGGTGAGGAGACCCCACGGTGTGGACGCGGGGCAGGCTGTACATCCTTACGCACAGGGACGCAGGCTGCGGTGACGATCCTTGGTTTCACCTTGGAAGCATGTGCTGTATCTCCAAGGGAGATTTTTAGAAGTGATTTTGCGGGACCACACGATGAGTGCCTTTCATGTTGCACAATGTATTGGTCAGTGCCCCCACCCACATCGGGACCGTCCCATTTCAAATTCCTACCCACAATGCCAGACACGTGTGCCATCCAAGTGGAGGCACTTTTGCTACTCGGATGGTACCTCAGGGGCTTTTCACAAGTATTTTTCTTATTCGGTACAAACCCAAAGGCCATTATAAAGACCATGCCGTATGTTTTCATATGCACGGCGATCTTTGCCCCTTTTTTGTTATAGACTGTTTTTTTCCTTGATTTTTAACAAGTCTTACAAACAAGAAAATACCTCTTTGCATGTGATAGGATTGCAATTTTTTTTTCCAGTTTATCATTTTTTTTTCCAACTTTGCTTTTGGTGTCTTTTTTTTTTTTCCACCAGTGAAATTTGTTTACTTAATTTTTCTCACCTTTGACTTATAATTAGGGATGGCTTTTTGTACTCTGAGGTTAAAGATAAACGTATTCATGCTTTTTCTGTAATATCTTCATTGTGTGACTTCTTCTTCTTGGTTGTTTGATGTGTACTATGAGGTATGGGTCTAATTTTTCTTTTTTTGCCCCAATGTCTATTTAGGTGACCCAACACTGTTCCCCCCTCCAATGTCTATTTAGATGACCCAACACTGTTCCCCCCTCCAATGTCTGTTTAGATGACCCAACATCGTCCCCCCCGATGTCTATTTAGATGACCCAACACTGACCCCCCATGTCTATTTAGATGACCCAAAATCATGTCCCCCCATGTCTATTTAGATGAGCCAACACTGACCCCTCCCCCAATGTCTATTTAGGTGACCCAACACCATTTATTAAAACGTTCATCTTGGTCACCTGTATCGTACACTGAAGCTCTCCTCGCTGGCCAGTTCCTGGAGTAGGAGCACACTTTTCAAATGCAAACCAACCCATCCACAGCCCTCACCCCACTGTCTCCAAGACCCCACTCTGGGCCACGATCCACACTACCCCCCCAGTCACTGCAGGGCCAGGGACCCACAACTAGGACAGCCCCTACCACCTGGAGAGTGCTGAAATCGCCCACACTAGCCCATGCGAAACCAGCTTAGCCTGATTACCTCACCCATTTCTTTGCACGATAAAGGCTCAAGTCCACATTTCCTTGTCTGTCTGCATCCTGACCCACCTGCTGCTTCCCCGTGGGGCCCCGCCGCGTGGCGTGCCCCCTCCTCTTGGGCACTGCGATCAGGAAACTTCTTTTTCAGTGGCAAGCAGCCACCCCCCAATCTGCTACCCTCCTCCATCCTTGGGCAACAGTAAAGCCTACACTTCCGACCCAAATACTCCCTGCCTGGTGTTGCCTGGGAACATTTGCCGTGGACTCCGTCCGCGGTTGTGAACACGACACCCGCATCTGCTCAGGACCTTCCTGCCTGTCGCTGTGCTGCTATTCCAGTCGGTTCCTGCCACAGCCTCCCTGGGGTCGAGGGAGACGTTACAGGTGTCTCTCCCCAGGCTGTGATCGCTCATGACTGGCCCCCCCACGACGGTTCCGAGCCTGCGGGGAACCCATGAGGAACCAAACCACACGCACCGCACCACGCCTCCCCTGGCCCGTCCACGTTCTCCCGTGGCGGGGTTCTGATGCACGCGCACTCTGCCTGTCAGCCTCACGTTGACGTTTTTGTCTCTGGTCTGTTTCTCCTGCAGTTTTTCCCCGACAACCCGACCGTGTGGCCATAGTGACCGGAGGCACGGATGGCATCGGCTATGCCACGGCGAAGCAGCTGGCGAGGCTCGGCATGCACGTGATCATAGGTGACGATTGCATTTTTGGCTAACGCCAGGGAGCCAGTAGCTCGCGCGTGTCTGCATGCAGACAGTTGTTTGCTCGTGGGTGCGACGGTCCTTTGCGCAAAACACCTACGCGTGTCCTCTTTGCATCCCCAGTCCTACTGCATTAGGACCCACCTTAGTGACCTCATGTTACCTTAATCCCCTCTTTAAAGACCCACCCCCAAACCCAACCACATTCTGAGGACCTAGGGCTCAGGGCTTCACTGTATGAACCTGGGGAAGACACAACGTAGTCCGTACCACACTCTCAGCCTGTGTTCACAACGCTGGCTTCCTCTGCTGCCAGATCCTAAAGACCCTGTATTTTCCCTTCTCCTATTCCAAACTCTCTCTGTTCCTTATCCCGGCTTCTAACTCCTCTTTGAAAATGAAGGGATTTTCCTTGCCTGGAAAAAGAGAGAGCTCCAAGGACCCATTTTGCTTTTGTTTAATAAGTTCCAGGGAACTGGGGGTAGAATTTGTAATCAGCTGGCAAAAATGCTATGTGCACATCAGCTTTGGGGGAAAAAAAAACAAGCACCCAATGCTAATTATGTTCTCTCTTTTTTTTTTTTTTGAGAGAGAAAGAGAGTGCCTATGCCAGCAGGGGACGGGCAGAGGGAGAGACAGAGAGAGAGAGAGAATCTTAAGCAGGCACGGACCCTGACATGGGGCTCGAGGTCACAACCGCAAGATCATGACCTGAGCCACAATCAAGAGTCAGATGTTTAACTGCTGACCCAGGTGTCCCACTAACTACGTCCCCTACTGACATCATCTGCATTTAATTACTACCTTTTATGGTGTCTGTTTATATATAAATCGTATTACACGTCTCGTTTTAGCTGTTAAGGATTGCTTTCCACTTAAGACTTTCTAAATAACATTACGCATAGTCGTTTACTGAACCATTAGTGATTTATTTCTTCCTTTCTCCCATTTTTTCCTGTATCTTTTGCCCGCTACCATCTATCAAAGGGTGGTTTTGGATCAGAACCTCTAGTCGAGGCTGGATATTTCAACATGAATGTGTTTCGTTCCTTCCTGGCTCTTCTGAGCTCAGGACACAGTCACGTTTCCCCTTTCCCAGTCCTTGGACACTGTTGGCATCCAGTTCTCCTTAAATGCATTAATATTAAAAATATGAATCCGTTATGAAAATCCATTAATCCACTAAAATCCATTAATATTATAAACCAAAGGATACTGAGGTACAGATATAAAAATATGTAAGAACACAAACTCATCACGTAATGGCGTACATTAAGTGACCTCCTGGGGGGGGTTTAGGGACATCTATGATTGGCCCCTGTGAGGATCTTAAGCTTTATTTTGAGCCAGCTTCAACACGTGAACCCTGTTATGAAAGTGTATCTGGTTTCTGGCGGTGGCCAGGTCATAGACCCTGCCCAGACTTCTGTGTCTTGTCCACATTCTTAGGGGTTGGCCACCATGATATGGGTGATTGCTGATGTTGAAACTCACAGTCCTGAGTTCCATGGAGGATGTCTGGGGTGGGGGGCTCTTGACCCACATGGGGAACCCCAGGTCCAGCCAGCGTGGTCTTCTGTTTTCTTTGGCCCACGTGGGTATACGCAGTGATTCCTTCCGTCCCGTAACCAAATAGACTCACACTCCTAAATGTGAATCTTTTCTTACGCTTTTGCAAAACATGACTCTGCAGTTTACAATTGTGTGTGTGTGTGTGTCACATGGCCCTTCCCACATTTCACCTTTTGAAAACCTATGGTTTCTTACAGTGATTCCTTCCTCACGGACCCACGTAGGCATCTCCCTGTCATGAACAATCGGGTCTGTTGAACGGAACACATTTCTCAGGCTTTGGGACGGGTGGATTACTTCTTGGTCTACCTCACCGTTTTCTTTCCTCGTCAGAGTGTTGTTTTTCCTTCAGGGATGCGTCCAGGTGCCCGTTGTCTGCATAGATGGGGAAATGTTTGAACAGTTTTTGACAAGTCCTTGCATGGGCTGTCTTCACCAATGTCCGCATCTTCCCTCGCAGATGGAGAGGGGTTGTTTGCAGATGTGGGGGTCTTAGAGGAGAGAGGGCCTGTCTGAGTGTGCATTTCTAGACGTCTTCCTCAGTTTTAGCACCTCTGTGATGTGTTTATGTCTCCCTGGGACCTGAGCACATCAGGGGACAGGGCATGTGAGCAGACAGACTGGGTCCTCTAGGAGACTCCTGCTGTATCTGGGATTTCTGCCGCCATGTGGAATGACTTGATCAAAGTGACATCAGCTCTTGAACACAAGGAGAAATAGGTGCCCTCTGAGGGCCTGCTGAGTTTAGGCTAGTGGCAGAAGGAAGCTGGTGGAGCAGGACAGGGAGGGAACGTCTGGTCTGAGAAAAGACAGAGGCTGTCATCCAGCCCTCGTTATCTCTGCCCCTGTGACTTCTCCAGTGCACTTGTCTGTTTCATCTTCTTAATTCCTTATGAAACTGGGCAATGTTGCAATGCGAACAGAAATCATTCCATTCCTGTGCTGTTTGCTGCAGTGTGGTGGTTTAGGTCATGATGACATCTAGTTGATTAGGAGATCATGAGGTCTAGTTGGGTTGGGTCATGATGAAGTCTAGTCGGGTTAAGTGATGATGAGCTCTAGTTGACTTATATCATGATGAGGTCTGCTTGGGTTATATCATGA